GGTTGTCTTGATGAAACTCCAATAGGTAGTCTACTTGACAATGAAGTTACTTCAGAAGAATCACAAAGCAATTATTTTAGTATCAAAAGCATTATTAGTATTTTTAAGATAAATTAGTTTTGATGGGCACCTCTGCGTAAACCAACAATAAAACTATACACTTAAAGTGAAAAAAACACCTGTCTCTCAACATAATTTTGCACCCCTTACAGTAAAGCACAGGGAAACATTTTGACATGTCTGAATCAAACAATGGTTTCTCTCACCTTACAAAAGATGAGGTCGCGCGGACCTGCAGCCCCAGAGAGCTCGGAGCAGTCGAATCAGCTACCCTCCTGCGGGATGAGCCAGGTGTGTGAGCCGACTGGGATGCGCGTGGACCGGGTGCTTCTGTTCGAGGGACCCCGGGAGGTGGAGGTCATCGAGGAATGCCACTGTGAGATCAAGCTGACCCAGTGCATCCGAGTCCCTGCACTAAAGACTTATTACTCCGAAACACCGTATGAGACAGTCATCGACGTGGGAGGATGCCCCCGCTCCAAGGGCTCGCCAGGTATGTGTGTGTGTGTGTGTGTGTGTGTGCAGAAAACAAAACAGAAGGTCGGTCAATCAGTCTATTTAAACAGAAGGGGATATGAATGAAAGAGTCGACTTCCAGTGGTATTGGAAAAGTTTCAATAACGCATAAAACATTTAAACCAAGTTTTGCTGGAAAAAGAGGAAACTGAGTAAAATGATTTTTTGCAAGATTTTATAATCAAATAAAAGTAGCCTAACGTTTTTGTGAACAACCATGAACAAACGGGTACAGTACCACTGTCTAACGAAATACACTGAACTACAGTAGCCTATCGTTGTGGTGCCTGTAAAACCATATCAACCGGCTGATAGTCAGAACAGTCCTGCACTGCACAGCATTGGAATCACCACTATTCACTACTGATGAAGTTAAAGCCCCAGTTCCAACATGTTGATCAGTTCAAGATTTTAGCTAAATGGACTTAATTTAGCTTAAAAAAAAACAAGAGTTTATTAAAGAAAAAGCAACATTTTGTGTGTTTGACTATAACCTAATTGAAGATATATGTCTCTTTTCCAACCAACACTGATATACACAAACATCTTTAACAGCATCAGAAAAAATATAAGTTATGAAGTTGTTGTCTAGTGTATTGAAAGACTCATCCATCATTTTGGGAGTGATCTCAAAAGCTAATCCTTTGTCTTAAAAGTTGGTTTACATTTGGATCACATATTGTAATTGAGCTGCTCTTCCTGCCCATATAACTCTAACTTTTCCTTTATCAATCACTCACAGAGGGATTCTCCTGTGTCCCCACTAAGTTTAACTCAGCCTTGTTGGAGACCCCCAACAAAGTGGTCCTCATCCAAACAGTGGCGGCCTGTGAGCTGAAGGAAAGTTGCTACAGGGTCCCATATGTGGAGTATTACTACGAAATAGTCCACCATGCAGATGGAGTCAGAGAGGAGAAGCTCAAAGTAGGTGTACACTCTAAACTATCACTAAAACATGGGCTCTGTTTGTGAATCCAACTTTGTGTTTGAATCCAGTTTTTCAAAATGAGCTACATTTCGTCTTACCATGGCATGGTTAACACTAGAACAGTGATTCATTAGTGATGCCGGTTTCACACTTTCTTTTGTAATCACGTCAAGAGGAAATGGGTGTCTAGTTGGGTGCCAGACTGTAATGAAGTATCTTTATTCATTAGACACATGTGTGGAAGACAGCACTTAATCGAGCCTACTAGCCACTAATGCAAGGACCTCAGGATGATGTGCATAGTGATTCGTGCACAACCTGCAACAATACACATGACATACTGGCAGATTTGAGTGGACTCCCTCATCTCTATTCAGGAAAATACAATAAAAACCTGATTTAAACTGTTTTGTTGGCTATGTTGATAATGAGGATTTAGACTCATTATTCTCCCTTAAACAGATACAATACACAAAAGTCCCACTCTGAAGCCCTTACTACAAAGTCCATCCACAACCCTCTCAGCACCACAAAGATCAAAATGATTTTTTGTTATTTTAGCATCAGACTTTGTGTGATAAAGATCATATTAGATTTAAGTTTTTAAGGTAAGATTTGAATTGAATTCCTGGACACAGTTGGTCATCTGCTGTTCCTTAGCACCAAAGGTGCGAGTGCAGTGCAAACACAAATGGGCCCTGCAGGTGTCGAATCAAAGCAGTAAACATGCTAAACAGCAGCTGGCCCACCAACACAACTGGGTCAATATTTGTGACCAGCTGTGAGCTGATTGCCCTCTCTCTGTGTTGTTAATTTTCCAAAGGAAATAGATGTGGGCAGATGTTTGGGAGGCTGTACTACAGGAAACCGATGCCTTCTCAGGTAAGTATGAACACAGCGGCTTTATACAACAACCCCCCACCCCCGACACACACACACACACACACACCTCCTTTCCCCTCTTATTACAATTGGCTGTAAGCTCTGACACTTTTTGTACTCAGCATGTTGGCCTCTTTAGTTATATCCAGATGTCCTCAATATACCTTCTGCTTTATTTTGTGGCAGACTTCTAACAGTGTAATTTCAGTTTATCTTAAGTATATGAAAAGAATAAGAGGTTCACATTCCAAATGTACCTTATGGTTCCTTCATCATGTCATTGATTTTATGGCTGGAGGAGGAAAATGCTGCACAAATAAATACTAAAAGTCTATCTTAGTTAAATGTTTTTCCACATTGTCGACAGTATCTCATAAATATGCTGTTCCAGCACTTGATAGAAGCTCTTCCGTGTTTACACTGTGTTTTGTAAATAGTCATTCAATATGGTTCCTTATTTTAGACACATCTTCCCTATATTAAACCTGACACAACTGGGCTATCATCTAGAATTTTAAAAAAAGTTTTGTGGCTTTGTGCACTATTTTTGGCTGCACAGCATGAGTTATCACTGCCACAAAATCTGGTCAGTGGGATTTAAGGGGTTAATGTCCTAATGCCTGGGATTTATTTTACTTGCTTTTAAAAATACAAATCTGTCATTGTGCACTTGTAATATATGTGTATCAGTAGATTCTTCATCAGATTCATAATACCTTACAATATTTACACAGGAATTATACAACACATTAAAAATATTAAAAGTTCCAAAATGTGACTGGACATACAGCCACAACATGACACAACCTAGCATACTAAGGTTTATTGTCACAGAACAGTAGGAAACATGTAGATACTGTAATATAGGTTATTTTATGCTTCAGACTACACATACAGCATGTGAAGTGGTTGTTTGATGTAGTGCACAGTGTGATTTTAATGTTCTTTCAATTTTCTGCTGCAGGAGTCCATCAGATCCACAAATCTGCCACTTATGGGCTGAAGGACAGGCCTGTGTTCCTCAGGGCTACGAGAGCCACAGCTTCGTTAACCAGCATGGGCACATACGCACGGTCCTCTCCATCACTTCCTGCCTTTGCCAAAACTGAACACTGCGCCCTCTACTGGAACACAACGTCCAATTCCTTCTCAGTAGTTGAAAAGCTTTAATTCACATTAGCTGCAGCCTATTGATGACCCCACCAAATCCTACCACTATAACATTTGTTAAAGAACTTGCTATCCTAAAGTATTATTGTATTATATGTAATATATGTAAAATGATAATTTTGTAAATAAATTTAATACAGAGTACTTGTTGTTTGACCAATGTACAACACATTTTTCATAAAACATTTTGGAAAGGTGTTCCAGGTACATTACTAAGAAAATAAACTATAAATGACACTTCAGTAAAATTCTACCACAGAGCAAGTGTGTGCAGCCCTCTTTTAAATTATATAACTGAAATTAGTATAAATAGTTCATACACTTTAGGTTTGAGTTCAGAAAGCAAGTTAATATAAAGAATGACCTGACAGATTGTCTTTTAGACTTTAAAACACACTTCTATGGATCAATGAAAACATTTTAATCAGTATCATAATCCAATGGGCGAAAATGAAGCCTTGAAGAAGCACTGGAAAGGAGCACATGAAAAGCCAACCAATTCCGCAAATGTCCCTTTGAAAAAACACACATGCAAGTTCTTAATAGCTCCTTATTTTGATATGAACGTGTGAAACAACACTTTTTTCCTGTCATCTTAAAAGAAGAGCTTTTATGACTTGCTTACAAAGTGTCCTGTTAAAAAAAAAAACTTTGATCTCTTAAATGTTTATTACAGTGAGGGAAACACTTTTTTCCAGTGTCAATCTGTCTTTTGCTCCTGCGTAATTGTGTGTAAAAATCAAAGTGACCATATGGCACAGTGAGCCATTTTTGAGTTTCCTTGGAAAGAATAAAGTTGGCTTCGAGAAATAAATGAAAAATAACCAAGTTTAAAGAATAATGGGGTTGCTTATTGTGCTCATGGTTAATAATTTTTTAATTCATAGATGTTTCTGTGTCTTTAGTGGAATGGTAAGGGTAAACCATGTAACGAAATTAAAAGTGTCCACTGTAAAAACCATTACCAGTAAAATGCATTGTTCCTTTTTTGTTGGGGTGGGGTGGGGGATTTACATTTAAGCCATAACTAGAACGATTAATTAGATTAGATTCAACTTTATTTGTAATTATGTTGTTATTATGTTAAACTGCTGTAGATTTTATAAAGATAAATCACCGGCTGGAAGTCTTTTAGCACCTCCTCAGCTTATTACATTGCAGGGGATCAGTCCAGTTGGAGTTCTTTTATAAAATCAAATTTTGGTGATAATCCAGCTTTAACTCGATAAGCAGTTATGTAAATCTGGCAACGTGTAGCCAGCGACACCCGTCTCTTTATCGAAGTAATTGGTTTCCACCTAAGACACTGTGCCCATTATTCTAAATTAATGGATTCATTCAGGCGCAGTAGACCTCCCATGGTGAGTCAACCACTTCTTCAAGAGATCATCTCCAAGGTTGTTCTGAACATATTCTTGACATTCCTCCACTCTACAAAGATTTATCAGAAAAAAAAAATTCTACACAAACAAAGTCACTCGTGGATAAGTACCAAGCTTTTTCAAAGGCTAGATTTAGTTTATTAGAGCCTTTATTGCCAGACGTGGGGACAATGGGCTTGAATAAAATCTACAATCGGGCTCACACCTTGTTAACGCCGCCATTAGTCTCCCTTTACATTCGCTGATTGGTGATTTACATTTGCGACCAAATAGCATTTTTACTGCTGTTTGCCAAGGCTTTGAGGGCACTGAAGAGTGAACGGGAGCCTTTGTAAATAAAAAGTCGAGCTTCAAGGACCCTGCAGTCACTCCAACTTCAAGTTGCTGGCCATTTGACTGGCTCAGGACACCCGGGATCTATCTGCTCAAGCTTGGAGATGTTGATGTTTGTGATCAGCTTTGCCACTTTAGTGTGCGCCGCCGCTGCACGGCCTTCACTTCATTTCACCGCCGAGAACGAGTCAAAGGAAGTCCGTTCAGCTGCCATCAAGAGACTTTTGGAGGTTTTTGGGATGGAGGACCCTCCTGCTATCCATGGACACAAGCAGCCACCACAGTACATGCTTGATCTGTACAACACGGTTGCTGATGTGGACGGTGTGACTAAGGACCCTTATCTTCTGGAGGGGAATACTGTGCGCAGCTTTTTTGACAAATGTAAGATCAGATTTGTGCGTGCTTATTGGTACTGGCTACTTTAGAGGATGAAATATAGTAGGATTTGTTTTGGTCCCTAATTACATAATTTTCATTGCAGTGCGCAGTGAACAGGTGGAGTTCAGGTTCAACTTGTCCACGGTTGCCAGAACTGAGAAGATTCTCACTGCAGAGCTCCATCTTTTCAAGCTGCGACCTCAGGCAACACTGACATTCCACAGACATCATTTCTGCCAGGTATGTACCATTAAATAAAATTATGGTAACTGAACAATATAAGGAAATAGGCTACAGTGAATCCTCCCAAATGCACCTCTCCTGGACTGTAATCTCTCCTGTTTCATTCAGGTTAGTGTTTATCAGCTGCTTGACACAAGCAAAACCAACAATACACAAGAGAAGAAGTTGCTGTCTTCTCGCCTCATCCCAGTTCACTCTACTGGTTGGGAAGTGTTCACCATTACACAAGCAGTAAGCATTCCCTTCTCTTTAAGGCCTGCGTTTACTTCTGTAGGTGAATTCTGTGTTTGAATTGTGAACTTCTTCATGAAGGTCCGCTCTTGGATGGTAGATGAAGGCAGTAACCTGGGGCTCCATGTGGTGGTTCGGACCCTGGGAGGAAGTCAGATGGATATGAAACTGATCCGTTTTGCTTCAGGGCGCAACCACCACCAGAGCAAACAGCCCATGTTGGTCCTCTTCACTGACGATGGCCGCCGCTCTGCTACTCTTGAAAGCACAGGTGAGCCTTGTTTCAAGCTTGAATGTCATTTGATCGATCAGGTTATGCCCAGTGATGGTAAGAATACACAGTTCAGGTATTTTTGTGGTCTTACTGCTGATGAGCAGGGGGGGTAGATAAGAGCTAGGGGAAGCCCTGGGCCCTCTTATGACTGTTATTGATCTATGACAAGAATGTCTGTGTGGCCATCAACAACCAGAACAGATCTCTGTACTTTACAAACACATTATTTTAGACACATTTCTAAAGAAGTATCTGACATCCAATGCTAATTGGCTACCAAAGCCATACTTTCATCAGATGTCTGATGTAAAAAAAAAAAAAAAACTGCCTGGTGAGGGAGTTGATGTTTTTAAATCATCTAGCCAACCTGTTATCCTACTGCAGAAACAACCAAACCTTTTTTCAAAATAAGGTGCAACGTGGGAAGAAAGACAAAATAACAGGAAAGATTTGAACCCCAGATGGTATTTTAACTTTAGAGGTACTGAACCCCAATTGTGCTGTACCCCAATTCACCCACAACTGAGCCGAACTTTAAAATACTGTGTTTTCTAACAAAACACTCTCCCTTCTATGACCAGACCCAAATGATGCAACAATCACTTCCAGCCTGCCACAGGCTTCCATATCAGGTCCGTCCTCCCGCAGCGCCCGCTCCCTGGACAGCGGGGAGGAAGGTGTGTCTTTGCCTTGCCAGCGTCTGCCCCTCTACGTCGACTTTGAGGAGATTGGCTGGTCGGGCTGGATTGTGTCTCCCAAGGGCTACAACGCTTACCACTGCAAAGGCTCCTGCCCCTTCCCTCTGGGTCAGAACATGAGGCCGACCAACCACGCTACCGTCCAGTCCATCATTAACGCCCTGAAGCTGATCAAAGGCATTCAGACGCCGTGCTGCATCCCCGACAAGCTCTTCTCCATCAACTTGCTCTACTTCGACGATGATGAGAATGTCGTCCTGAAACAGTATAATGACATGGTGGCTGGAAGCTGTGGCTGCCACTGACATCAACCAGCCACTGGTGTTGGGCTGCACAGACATTCATAAATATTTTAATGTAAATCTGGGTTTTGGTACACAGAAGTGAAACTAATGAGTAATGTGCAGAGTCCCATATGTGGCACTGTAATATATGTAAATATCCATAAATTATAATATATGGCAGTGATGGAAGTAATATCCTGTGAATGATGTGAATGTGTATATTTTATGTTTTCTGTTGTGAATTAATACACCGTCAGAATAAATGCTGTAAACAAAATATTATAGAGTGAATTTATTTGTAAAATACTTTGCCCTCAAAAATGTTACATTATTTCAAGGAGGTCTAAAGTGAAGTGTTATTTATTATGACAGAACAATGTATTTAGCCATTAAAATGGTCAACATTTGGCTCAAAATTGTACTTCCATCAATTAACAATAATGTAACTGCAGGAATCAACCACCTTCAATTCTTGCTAGAACAATTTCGCCCCATCCGTGCAGCATTTCCACAAAAAAATTATGAAATAGGAAGAATGCTTTTAATCTTCTTCAATGACCATAGTTTTCTACCTACAATAATTTCATTCAGAATAAATATTACCAGCCCATTTCAAACTAAATCAATTATATTATCGCTTATGAAAGACTCTTTCAGGAGGAAAGACATGGGGATGTACGGGGTGTGTATTCTCTCCAATAAAGCCACTAAACAACTTATATTTATTCCAGAGGTCTTGCTATTATGTTGTAGCACTTTCTCACAAAATGCTGCATATTTGTGATTGTGAAATAATCAAATTTGGAGGCCTTGCTCACACAACACAGGCTAATTTTTTTAATTTTCAGTGAATTTTAACTGACTAAGCATGAAGCTTTATGGTTCGGGAGGTCTGTATGTTCATATGGTTTCCTTTGGGTTTTTCATCCTTTGACAGGCTGGAAACCAGTTCAGGGTTCCCGCCTATCAACTAAAACACACTGGGATGTGCTCTGACCTCCATCCCTTTTCCCTCAAAAATCTAAATGGGATATGCAAGTGTAGAAGACGCATGAACATACTGAGATGTTTTGCTCTTTTAAAAAAAATTTGACTTTAGATAGTTTATCGTTTTGTTCATATATAATTTAATAATATAATGTGGGTCATAATACGGGTCTCAAACCACTAGGTCTCCGGGACACACTTGAGACATGTTTAAATATCTTTCACAACATCAAAGTTTTTTCAAACTTAAATACTACTATTAGAAAACAGTACCAAAGGTCGTTCTTTGATTTGCAGTGAAATGTAACTGTTAACCCTTTAACATCCTCTCAACCATTTGGAAGACCACATTTTAAGTCACTGTATCTCATTGAAAAATGTACTGAACTTAATTCAACCTGTTTAAGCCATCTCTAACATTTGGTGTAGGTATGCTGTGCTAGAAAAATCCACTAGTTGTCACTGTTTCTTTAAGCAGCATGCCTTTTCAGATACCCTCCTTACAGGAAGTTAAAATCATCAAAGTCACTGCAGCCCTTATACCAGAAAATCCTCAAGACTCTGCCATTAATCTGAGTGATGATGATAACAACCAAATAGAGCCTCCTGATCATCAACATATCAGAACATACCAATCTGTACTCTGCGCAGGAGTTGGGGGATGCGATCAAAACTAGCTCCGAAGAGATTGACTATTTCCTGGCAATACAACCTGTCATAGGTGTTGTCAACTTCCCAGCCATGGATGACTACTGGCACCACCAGTCACATCTCAAGACGTAAAGAGATTCAATTCGTTATGCCAGATTATTAATTTTAATGATAATCAGCAGGACAAAGACAGTCCCGACCGGTTTCAGAAAGATGGCTCTTTATGCATTTTAATACCAACAAACTTTAGAAAACATCATATAAAATGCTAAGTTGTTGCAGAAATAAATCTGTTTTACAATCAACAGCAGAGAAGGCGACTTCAGCACTTCATCCCTTATTGCGTATCTAGGGTTTGCAGTAGAGTTTATACCAAACTGTATGCACTACACAGTAACTTCATTGATTATTGAACAACAGCCATACACTAAATTAAGTAAATACTGTATTTTGCAGTGATCTAGACATTGATATGTTGCCAAAGTATCTAAGTCTGTCTAAAAGGTTGAGAGTACATACAGATGTGTTCTTCTGAAATACTCAAAGAACAGAAATACTATGTTGGTAATATTCAAAATGTTCAAAAATCAATGAAGTTACTGTGTAGTGCTGTTTTGTATGAACTCCACTATAAACCCTGTCTTCATAATTAGGGATGAAGTGCTGAAGTTGCCTTCTCTGCTGTTAACTGTCATTTTATATGATGTTTTCTAAAGTTTGTTGGTATTAAAATGCATATTTAAGTATTACCATGAAGAGCCATCTCAACCGTTTGGTAGAGCAGTATATCAGAAAAACTATTGGGTCAATAAAAATTTTTTTTTGGATTATTATTGTTATTGCCCTAATGAAATAAAAAATGTAAAGAAATAATTTTTCCATCACTTTTTTCTTGGTGAGGACTTTAAAGGGTTAAACATAAAAAAGATTTACTTTTAAATGTTATAATTTTTAACCATACACTAATCTGATAAAATTATTGTTGTACAAATTATGTAGAAATAATTCACAGTGATCAAGAAAGAAAAACAAAAAACAGAGTATAGGTTAGCTTAGACACAGTGCTGACATCTGTTTGAGTAGATTGATTCTTTTTGGTGAACACCTGATAACATCCAGAAAGGCACCCACAGTCTGCACAACTGCCGCTTCACCACCAGAGGACGCTCAGTTGTTCCTGGATGATTTCTGCTGCTGGATAAGAACAACTAGGAAGATGTAGATGGACACAGCCATTAAGGTAGTCATTGTGTAATAGCATAGATTCAAAGACCCTGGAGCCGCATTTCCCCATAAGCCTTCTTGTCCACAGATGATATGAATGAAATGAAAAGAAGTTGCAACAAATCAATGTAACTCCCTGTTTCAGCTGACATATTTTAAAGATTGTATATTTAAACAACAACAAAACAGGAACCAGCTTTTCACTATGTTTGACATGCACTGTTGCATCATGCCAATAAAGGGAAACATTTTCACATGTTAAACACACTCTTACACACTGTACTTACACATTAACATATTGCACAGTAGTTTCATAATTGAAAATAGTAAACTGAAAGTTAGACATGTGCTGATTCACCAATTTAATACAATCCAATACCAATAAATCCAAGATGAAGCTTATGATGCCTTAGTGGTGTTTTGGATTGCATTATATTGAGGATGTTTCTAATATTCTGTCCTACTTAACAAGTGGTTTGTAAAAAAAGGCAGAAAACTGAGCATCTGTTAGCAGCTAACATCAGTGGATCAAAGATTTTCTTGACAGGGTAGGTTTGACTGAGAATGTGGGAGATGTAGAGGGTGATATCCTCTGTACATTTACTGTGCACATGTAAAAAAATTCTAAAAATAAGGTTAAAAATAAGGTGAGGTAATGCCACAGTTTGGCGCCTCCTTTGCAACACATCAATCCATGCTGAGAATGCACTCATGACACACATGTGACACATTACAATAAATAAACATAGCCACCTAGTTGCATATGTGGGTCCATTTGAATACAACATATAGGGACCTAATCTGTAATGAGGCAGGATGTGATGTGAGGAAGCTCCAACATTTGTAGCATTTGCATCCACAGCTCTTCAGAAAAGGTGAAGTACTTTATATCTCTGGCTGCCAATGTTGTTGGATGCAGAGCAAAGCTCAGGCTATTCCCTCAGGGAAAAATAAATAAAGGTCAGCATGTCAGTGTGTCTATCAAATCACTGCTTCATCCGGAGAAAATACCAAATGCAGTAAAGTCAGTGTACAAAGTACTGCTGAATAACATGCTAACAAAAAAAGGTGCAATCTCTCCTAAGTATTACTCCTTCAATGTAATACAGTACTCAGCAGTGGTGGAAGAAGAAAAGTAGAAATACTGTGTATTTCATGAAGAGACTTACCTATAACAGCAGCATCCATAGTAAGAAGAACAAACACATTTTCCCCGAGATAACTTTTAATATTACCTTGATCCTGGGCTGAAGAATCCAAACTTGAGGGCTCAGAAGTCTCCTGGCATGGGTTTCATGGACATCTGTATTGTTCACTGTGCTCAGCTTAGATCGATGGGTAGCATCACTTTCATTGTCTGCCTCTACACCCAGCATAGACTGCAGAGGAAAAGACAGGGAGGATGTAATGTCTAGACATTTCTGTTTGTGACAGCTATCCAATGTAGTATAAAACATTAAAAAGGGAAAGAATAATAATAGAATTTACTGTATTTTGTAAAAGAAGATACAATGGTACATATTATTCAAAACACAGCATTTGTTAGAAAGAAAAAACGTAGAAGCAAGTCTACAGCAAGCTGTTGATGAAATTTGAATATTAAGCTAAATTCCTCAAGCATTCTTCATTGTACTTTTCATTTTCAGCCCTGGTAAATAAACCATTGAGTCAAATCTTTTAATTAGCTGATATGTTCCAGATATTTCTCTCTTGTCACTTGAACTGCAACTGCGAAGTTCAAACCTAATAGGGCCTGTTCTTCTTTTAATTAGGGTTTATTCCTCTCATTCACTTGAGCAATCAGAGTTATCTTGTAGTTTGTCTTGCCATTACAAATTTGAACAACATGAAGCATCGGCTGTCAGAGAAAATACAGACTTTAAAAATAAAGTACTCACAACACTTGCAAATGGAAATAGCACAAATATTTAATTTGGCAGTATGGTTCTATACTTGGCAGAGCAGCAACTTTTCAGAGGTTTTGGCCTTAGTGTATACATGAGTTGTAAATGACTTTCTTTAGTGTAACATTTTCACCAAGTTAAATGTATATTTTTAAAATCACATAGACTTCAATTTAATACCTGTTTCTGATCATTCCAGCCAAAGTATGAAAGCATTATGGAAAATCAGAATGGATGGTAAGGTCCAATTAGGGTTAAGGATAGGGTTAGGGTTAGTACTTCCCAGCAGGATATAACAATTATTCCTAATGATAAAATGATAAATGAACCTGGACCCAGATAAGTAGCAGAAAATGGATGGATATGTTAACCAATGAAAAAGTATTCAATAATTTAAATTTTTGCTAAATTTGACACTTGACACTTGACAATGAGCTTCCTATAGCAACTATACGGAGCAGTGGTGGTAGTGTTTGCTATAAGTCCAATTGTTCTGACTGAAATGCCACAAGAACAGGACAGAACAGCCTCTTGCACACACAATCCATGATCAAAACAATCTCACTTTAAGTTTATAGGTGTGTAATGCCCCCTGACAGCCTGCAATCAAACACTAAAACATTATATAAACTCACATTACTGCAGCAGGAAAGAGAAAATATTTAAGACTTTTGTGGATTCAATTTTAAACTTTTTAATACCCTCTAAACTTTATTGGGACCCCCGGGCTGGGACCCACTGACATAGAGTGCCGTGATGAATCTGATTTTCTAAAGAAAATATATAAAATGCCAAGTACAATAGTGTGAGGTAAAGGTGGAATACATGCATTAGTCAGAGTGTACTGGTGTACATCTGCTAGTCTAAATTATAATAGCAGGGTAAAAGGCAAAGTTTGATTTCAGTGCCTCAAGGCATGTTCAAAATTAGTACATATTTTTTGGAAGTTAAGTTTTAGGTCAGATAGATACCTAAAACTGAAAGGGAAAATGTAGTCAATAATTAGATAAATAGCCAATAATTGAGTTCTCAGCTTAAAACAAAAATTGTCTCCCATCAAAAAGTCTTTTTGCCCACTACAAAACCCTTTCTCTAAAGAGTGTAACCTGAGCAGTGGCCGAGGCGTTGGCCATAGAGTGGCACTAAAGGGGGTTGATACCACTTGGCATGATGCTGGACGACAGCCCTTGTTCACTGTCAAAGGGGCTGCTATTCACAATGGAGAAAACGATGAAATGCTGCCATTATAATGGGGACCAAAGGGCCCTGTGGCAGCCAGACACCTGATCTCCTCTTTGGCTCTGGCTTCCTTTTGTCCCAGTATTTCATATCTGACATATCCACACATCTTAAAAAAACACTTCATGTTGGAGCAGCGATGGAACTGAGGCTTGGTGTTTGCGCATTCAGACATGGGGAATAAACAGACCATCTTTACTGCACAGCAGCTAGATGCCTATCAGGTTAGTGTCATTCCTTTCTGAATGAGATGTTTAGTCTCACTTACTCTAATGGTGCTTCTCTTATCAGTACTTGCTACCGGCATCTGTAAACAAGGCTGATACACTTATCAGACTTCTTTGTATTTTGTAAACTTCCTATTAAGAAAAGTAGATGATCCAGGGTCAGGTAGTGCACCTCTTCAGGGTAGTGTTGAACTAAGTCAAAGCTTTCCTGATTTTATATTTTGTTCTCCAACTCAAACACTTCAGAGGATTATGTATCTGTTTATATATAAAACTAGTTTCCTCACTGTAGCACTGTACTTAGGTATTATTCTGAGATAATTGTAAGTGTTTCCATTGGATGCTACTTTAAACTTCTACTCCACTACATTTCAGATGTAAATGCATACTCACTACATTTATTTCATAGCTATAGGTACTAGTTACTTTTTAGATTTAGATTTTAAACAAAAAACACATGATTAACTTAGCATTGGTATATATGAGACTACCCAAAAGTATATAAAGTAGTTAACTAAACGTGACACTGATAATGCATAATGACTACATTTGCTTTTGATACTCAACACGTTTTTAAATGAATGACTTTTACTTGTACTGGAGAATTTTTGTAGTGTGGGATTGCTACTATTACTATAAGTAAATATATGAATTTTCTACCACCACTGTGTAAAACAAGTAAATTAGCACCAGACTGTCTAAGAACAACTGCATCCTAATCTAACTTTGCAATAACTTGCCATGATATGATTGTATTTGCAGGACTGTACATATTTTACAAGAAAAGAAATTCTCAGGTGAGAAAATTATTTTACTGTGATCAAAACAGTTTTAAATCTTAATATATTTGAGTCAATGCTCATGTAACACAGCTGACACAGCTGTTATTTTGTTCTGTTCCGCACAATACTACACTGTAACTCTAAACTACTGTATCGGGAGACCTGTACTGTGGGGCAGGCTACCATACCAGATCACATGGTATTTAAAATCTTGCTTTTAGAACTTTACTGTACTGAAACTCATTTTTCAGAGTTGACCCCAATAGAGAAAATAGATTCCAGCTTAATAGTAGGAGTCCTAACTTTTCTTAGCAGCCAATTGCATCTCTAAAATACACAACTACATAACATAGAAGATGTTGCATAATTTAATATTGAAAGTAAAACTTTTTAAACTGTTCCTAGACTGTTCGACCGCTATCGGGATTTGGCACCGCAACTCGTTCCCCTTGACTACACCAGCAACCCAGATGTGAAGTTACCATATGAGCTGATTGGCAGCATGCCAGAGCTGAAGGTAGACCCACTGGTCCACACACACCCTGCAGACCCGCTCTCTCCCAGTGTTCCTAATCCATTATTAACAGCCAACTAATCGGCAGAATTCTTTGAAAGGTTATATGTTACCCGACTCCTTTAAACTTTAAGAATGCTGGTGAGTCCCTCAGGGCATACTTCTTGGATATAGGTCAATTATATGCCTCTTTACACAATGACAGCACAGTAAACAGGTGTGTTAACATGCTGGTCACTGACATGTCTTGAGAAAGAGAAAGTTAGACTGTCAAGATTATACTTTCCCTTATAAACTTTCATTATTCCAATTTAATAGCTTTCATGAATTATCATTTGAAAAACAAAAATCAGACATAAAAACCAACAAAATAACAAAAACACACAATCTCAGAGCACAGGAAAGTCATTAAAGCCAGCAAGCACCGGTTCATAGTTCTGTATGATTAACAGCACTGAATTGTTTACAGAAGTTTTATCAGACTGTTACAGAAGTACTGGTGTCCCCTCTGTCCAGGACAACCCATTTCGCCAGAGGATTGCTGAGGTTTTCTCTGAGGACGGGGAGGGAAACATGACACTGGATGACTTCTTGGACATGTTTTCAGTCATGAGTGAGATGGCTCCTCGTGACCTCAAGGCATACTACGCTTTCAAAATTTATGGTAAAATATCCGAAGAAGTGGTAGAGTATAAAAACAAATCAATGAGTTCCAATTTTCATTGGGTTTAGTTTAAATTGGCTTTTCCTTTTTCCTTGTTTGTTGTTCCACAGATCCCAAAGACAACAAGGAAACAACAAAGAAAGATCTAGTGTTTTATATGAAATACTGTATGTGCTCGATGAACTGATTTGTATTTCCTTTTGTTTGTCTTTCACAGACAAAGAAATGGACATAATGTTATTCTACATAGTGACATTACTTTTGTTTGAGGTCAGATAGATCTTTTTCCAACAAAGGTTATACTGCATAACTCCAATAACAGAAATCCAAATAGACTTTAGAATTTGAGCAGTGCTGTGTAAAAAGTACTGTCAACACTAATCACGGATACAGAGCATATGAATATGAACTTCCATTGTACTTACCCAAATGGGGTCAAACACAAATAACGCATAATTTTATTCTATCATTTGTTCAAAATGATGTTGAAAAGCAAATTTCATAAGATCAATAAAAGTCCCAATGGATCATGGTGACTAGGACCCTAAACTGAAGATTAGAATCATATGTAACTCCATAGTGTAAAGAGCCGCTGTGATACCAAAATAGGCCCTACTTTTATGCAACAAAATCATGAAATCTCTCTAAAATTGAACTATGAACTAATACTGTATCTTCCCAAGTAAGTTCAATAAAAGCAGATGAAACATCTTTTAAATGTTAATATGGTACAAGCATATGAAACGGGAGCATGGTGAAGGGCTTCGGAGCTGTAAGCATGACGGATGGTGCATGGAATGTTATAAATGATTAACCAGCCCATTATAGAGGCAAAGAGCTTGTCAAAGCCCAGTTTGCGCTCAGCACTAGGGTCCCCTCTAATTAACAAACGCTGACAGATGAAGAGGTTACATACACATCACCATGGTCATGGGTCAAGGAAACTTTTCATTCATTATTATGACCAACAGAGAAGAAACCCCATGGAAGGTGACACAGTTAAAACATAACTGAAGTATAGTTGTGTTGTGAACAAGCATGATGAGGTTGCATGGACCTGAAGTGACCTCTCTAATGAAGGACTGGGTGTGTTGGATGAATATGTAAGGCTTGACAAATATGTTTAATCAATGCCTTCAGTATACATCAATATATTACCATGTGAATAACATTGCAGTTTGCATCATCAAGAGCTCATGCAATTTTATTGACCATGAAGTCCAATTTGAATAAACTGAATATTGTCAGAAATAATTCAAATAAAAATAAACTATGGAAATTACTTTAGAATATATGAAACACATGTCTCTAACAGTTAACTAAGAATAATAACCAATTATCGTCATTATTGATTAATCTGTTCAATAAATTGTTTAGTCCATAAAATGTCAGAAAATAGTGAAGAATTAGTCCAAAACCTAAAGATATTTAGTTTAATATGATAAAATACAAAGAAAACCAGCAAACACTCAGATTTAAAAGGAGGAAACAATAGATTTTAGGTATTTTTGCTTAAAGAATGACTTGAATGATTAATGGATTATTAAAATAGTTGCTCGACTAATCGATTAATCAACCAATAATTTCACCTCTAGCTATCTTCTTTTGTGCAAGATTTCAACAATGATGACTTCATCTGCAAGTCAGACCTGGAGAAGACAGTGAACAAACTGACCCGTAATGAGCTGACAGAAGACGAGGTGAGGATGGTTTGTGAAAAGGTCATAGATGAGGCTGACCTGGACAATGACGGACGTCTGTCACTGGAGGACTTCCAGCACATGATAGTTCGAGCTCCAGACTTTCTCAGGTGGGCCAATAGTGACCCTTTACTAGAAGATAAAATGAAGGTTTAGCTCACATACACGTTACATGAGAACACATTCATGTCAAATTTGTCATTTATCAGTAATTGTAATCTAATGTGGATTTACCTATTTACATTTGTTTTTAACCCTGGCTTCTAATGAGGAAATCAAACTATTGTGATGTCTGTTCACAGCACCTTCCACATAAGGATATAAAGAAATGAAGCTATGTGGTGCACTTACAACACTGCGGAACGTCTGGACATCTCAACCAAAAACTACAAATCGTCTTGTAAATGCCTAGAGTTTTGTTTTATTTTGTAAAAAAAAAAAAACTGGAAAAAAGATAACTAAAAGCATTCTGATCTTCATCAGAGCTCATTAGATTTTAACATTTATCATCCAGAGTAACTACAAATTATCTTGTATTTAATAGGAGCATGACTGTCTTGCACTGACCATCTTAAGATTTGTTAGACTTACATTCTAAGTCCACATCAAATTTGTATTAGTGCAAATGCAGAAATAACACTAGTCACTGTGTGACAGCAGGTCTGTCGTCAGGTGGTGGCATCAAACAACCCATAAAGACAAGGCTCATTAGTTTTGACCATCAACAGTAGATTTGTGTTTTGTATATGAAGGGGTTCAGTTTTACCAGACTATAAAAGAAACCCATGCCAGAATATTCCTGTGGGTCATGGCCGGCTAATAAAAGGAGAGCCATTTTGTTATGACAAGTTCCATTGTGGGAGCATGGAGTCAACTGATAGTTTAGTTTGAGCACACAGCCAGCCAATAGACAGTGAATGTGAGGTTTTATAATCTTATTTTATTAAATCAAAAGTACACATATCTACAAATTGTAGATACATTTTCATATGGGTTTAGAAAGTACAGTACAATTTAAGTAGATCTGTTTTCAATGTGATATTTACAATGTTATTTTTCTTCACTTTTTTTCTCCCAAAACATATTCTTCTTTTTGTGGACTTCACAATTGACGGAATGAAAATATGGCTGTAAAAAGGGATGTACAATATATTATGACATGTGATAGGAGTCTTAAGAAAAAGATATGACTTCAAAACAAAACAAAAGACAGTATCAATTCAGCTGAAACTGCTCCCTATCTTTCTGTTTATGAATTAAAGCTACAGTATCACTCAAATGAGACAACAGCACTATCTCTGCATTTCAACATCCAGACCTCTCCCACTTAATCTTCCATTATGCAAAATTTCAATTGCATTGATGTAACAATGACATTTCTATAAACAGAGCCCATGCTGTTCTTAGCTCAGTGAATGACACAAAAAAACAAACAAAAAAAAAGCCCATACATTCAACTGTACAGGTCTACAATTATGTCTGAAAGTTACATTTCACAAATATGCACAGGTCCAAGATTCACAATGCATAGCTCACCTATGACAGAACTGAGTATTAGCAGTTAAGACAAATGGCCATGGTAATCATGAGGTCCCAAATTATTTGAGATTATTTTTATATATATATATTATATATAAAACAAAAAAGTGTAGGCAAGCAAAAGCAGATCCTCCCTCGATATTGTGCATATAGGAGTTTGGTTTTCAGACTAGTAAAATATGTATGAAGTAACCATGAAGAACAGGAATAGATTGAGACTCAACGTCAATGTTAAACAGTGGGTACATGTTCGGATCAAGTTTAGTTCACTGTGGCTTGCGTTCTTAAAATACTGATTAAAATTTGAGTTCAGGTGGTCGCCTATAATGTATACTGTGCCTGTGGTGCCACCTAGTGGTCGAACTACAGTGCAATAATGAAACACATCAGAATGATACTAATAGGCCCACCTCTCAGCTTAGGTCAAGGCAGTGTTCGTGTAATAAGCCAAGAAAACGTCACTTTTAAACTACAATTTGGCAGGGCAGTAGCATAGAAACAGAGGCCTGCAAAGTATTTTTCCTTTATATAAATATATATAGCTGTTAAAGTATGTTAGAGCAATGCTTTTCAGTGAACTAGATAATGACAGTGGATCAGAAGCAGTGAAATAGCAAAGAAAATCAAGTCATTTATAAGTAAGTGTAGTAAAATTTAGGCATTACGCACATTTTACCACCAAGACTCAATGGATTTTTTAAGTAATTGTATTGCAAAACTATCAATTGGCACAGACTACACACAAAACACGAGTTACTGGTAAAGTGCAAGGGGAGCTGGGGCTTACAGTGCGAAACTTCAAGGAGGGATTTTAATTGCTGATCAGATAACTGGAGACATCATTTAGCTAGACTGTGAAACAGAGCTGCGACAAAACCTTCAAGTCAAATTAAAAACCAGCACTTTAATCCTATTTGGAGTTGGACCAATTTGTCAAGTGAGAGAAAATAAATTGATCTATTGACCATTTTAAGTAAATTCTCATACCAATCCTTCACTGGTCCCAGTTCCTCAAATGTGAGAAGGAGTTGCTGCTTTTTGTCTTATATGATAGTAAACTCATAGTTTTAACAGGAAACTTACTATTTTCTGACATTTTGTAGGCCAATCAATCAAATAATGGGTAATTAAAAAAAAAAAAAAAAAAAAAAAAATCAATTGCATCCATAATCTTATTACACTGCACTTATTTGTGGAGGATTATTTTAATTATACAGTGTGCACATATTGTTGTAGTGTACTTACAAATGGTTTACAAAGCAGTGTTTCACTTTCACACCACAATGTGCTCAAAAGTGTTGTACGTACATTACTTTCTTGGAGGTTACTACACCAGATAAAGCTTAAGGAGAAGCCAATGTTCTGCGGATAATTTGACAGCAGTACTTCAGAGGCAAAACTCTGGATTGTATTTTTAGGTTTTGTGTAGCCAAACTGTCTTCCAGCACCTGAAAGCTACTAGAGTGAGGTTCAAATGAGTTGGAGGCAGTGTGTATTGATTGGGGCATGTTGAAACATGCATTTTAGTCACATTGGATGATTGTCAAGGATTACACATAAACCAGAGAGTAGAACTCAAATAGAGCACATTTCAATCCAATTCCTCTCTGATCCTTGACTGTTGAAATGAAAATGAAAGCGTGTGCAACTCTGTTTCACTAGAGATCTAGCCTTTCAGTCTCTGGTTGACATTTATAACATAAAGGGAGAGAGCACTAATAAAAATAGATCTAAATATCACATTTGTATTTGCAATCCCAAAACCTTGGCATTAATCAAATGATTTATCTTCCTCGGTTGTGCTACTGGCACTGGTGTGAAATATGAGTGCGTAGTACAAAGATTAACATCAGAAGTAAGAGCCTGTCTTTTGTGTGATAAGGAACATCTGGACAATGGTCCTGGTTGAGTCCTTGAACGGTCAAACACTGTGACCCACAAAGACAACAGATCTCCTTTAAATGGAAGAGATGCACCACTGGAAGCTTTTGGAAGAGGAAGCGAGAAGAGGAAGCCCTTCTCTTACTGGGAATATACCGGTTTGTGTGGACTGGTAGGACAGAAAGATCAATGGGGAAGGAAGTGCTAAAAGCTAGCACAGTCCGTTTATGTCCAGCCAGCTGGCAGCCAGTATTGAAGGCCTCCGCCCTCAGAGTAGGCTACAGCGGAAGAAGCTGGTCTTTTTCTGAGGCTCTGAGATCTTGACGCCATGACTGCTTCCCTGCGGCATGTTGCCCTCCTGCAAATGTGACAAATTAACAGGTCACTCTCATATACAACTGTTCAACACTCAGTGGCTGCCTCTCATATGGTACAAAAATCCTTATGTACTTTTCTGCAACCAGAGGCACACCGCTTTTGATTTGAGAAGTTTGAAACCAGGAAAACGTGTTTCAAATTATGAAATATTTGACAGTTGCTGAATAGCAATATCAGATATATAAATTTCTTACAGTGCTAAATACTAAGTAGTGTCATCAAAGAGTTCTTACTAATTTTGTGTCCATTTTTGATTTGATGTCTCTGGCGAGCGTTAAAAATGCCTGTGAACCAGAACAAATACACATGTCACACTGATGACAATGATCTGTTAAGTATATTATAACTCAAGGAAGAATGGCTACCTACATTTTCCACATTGATGTTGGCCTTTGCACTTGTCTCCATGAATTTTATGCCATACTCCAATGCAAGCTGAAATATAATGGGAAAATTACATCAACTTAAACTTTACAAAGTCTGTTGACACATTTTCACATTACACCAGTACAATAGTGCAAAATTATTATTTCATTATCACATACTATTATCAAATACTGTATAACCCAATGACAACAAATTATTTTAACTTCAAAGTTTCTCACCTTCTCTCCCCTGTCTTTGGACACCTGCCGTTTGTCGTTGATGTCACACTTGTTGCCAAGGACCATCTTCTCAACATCAGATGATGCATGCTGAATCAAGAGAACAGAAATTTAGTAAAAACAACATGGTACCATTTGGGTATTTTGAAGGTAGCAAACATGTAAAGTAGAGTGTATTTTGGCCAATAAGTACCTCCTCTATGTTCCTTATCCAGTTCTTGATATTTTCAAACGACTTCTCGTTGGTGATGTCGTAGACAAGCATGATTCCCTGTAAAGAAGAGTAAATAAAATGCTTTGAGATTAACAGAACTCAAGAGCTATGGATTTATGTTCCTGTCTGTCACGTTAAGGCACTAACCATAGCTCCTCTGTAGTAGGCTGTTGTGATTGTTCGGAAGCGCTCCTGGCCAGCAGTATCCCTGAAAAAAAAAAAAAAACAAAAAAAAACAGCAGCATTATGACATCTCAAAATGTCATATCAGGAAGTTTAAGAATAAATATGAAATGTGTGTGTACAATAAATATTTAGATCAATCATATGGGAAACTTTCCCATATGACAGGTAAAGCGGTTGGTTTATCTTACATGGACTTTTTCCAACACACTTGTATATAAGGGAGGTATCGTTATAGAGATAGGTATTAAATTGATGAATTTTATACAGTAAGCTAAAAAACCATGACTTTGTCATTAAAACAGAAACTTCAGATAAAGAGAAAACAACAGTCCTTGAAGTTTTGGTAATACTGTTCTACTGGGATTCAGCAAATTTGAATTGAGTGAAACTAATTCTGCTGAAATTACAATTACAAACCTTTACATTGAATTTTGAAACAATTAAACGACTTTTAAGGTCGATAATTGATATTTCAAGAGTGTTATAGGAACTATGAGCACCCCACATCTGTCAGGAACCTTTTCTTGAGTAAAGTGTGCGCCACCCATACTTTGTTAGCAAAATACTGATCAAACACCGCCATCATGACACATGTCCTGCATTAACAGAATTAAGCTAAACTTACCATATCTGTAACTTTATCTTCTTGCCGTCAAGCTCTATTGTCCTAATCTTGAAATCAATGCCTGGAGGGATAAAGAAGGATCATGCATGTCAATCATAACGTTAGCTTGCTAGCTCAGTATACCTGTCAAATATTGGCTGACACTGCTGCGACACAAAAAAAAAAGAAAAGAAAAAAGACACTAATAGACAGGGAATGAATGGCGAGTCGGCTTCTTTTCACGACAGACGGCAATGATGTGTGCATGAAAGAACAACAGCTTAAAAATGCTTAAATTAATCAGCTATAGCTTGCTTCATATTATTCTTTCCGGTGTCTTACCAGGATGTAGACGTGGCCTAATGGCTAGCGTTCGAGCTATGTCGCTAACATTTAGCAAACAGGAAACCCACCCGGCATCAGTTTATAAAACAGCACAAACGTATTTACTTTGCATTAGCCTCATGCTAAACACACCGTGAATAATGTCCCCCTATGTTGTTTCTTATTAACCAATTAATATCTGAAAGAATATTATTAAATAATGACAAAGAAACTTCCTGCCATCCGTCAACATAGCGTTGCCAGCATTCCAGCAAGTAGACCGCGCCTATGAAACAGCCCATTGACGTATGTAAACAGACGGCAAGGCCGTTTAAGTTAACGTTACAGCAACAAAAACGTACCTATTGTTGAGATGAACGTGGAGTTGAAGGCGTCTTCTGAAAACCTGAACAGAACACATGTCTTCCCGACACCAGAGTCGCCGATTAACAGTAATTTAAACAAATAATCGTATGTCTTCGCCATACTTGATATTATTGCGGAAATCCCGCCCGGCGAAGCAGCGACTGAATATACAGAAAAGCCGCCCCCTACTGGCTCGGAATTCAATTGCGGTTTATATGTAACTGGTCCAGTGGGCGTTTACTCACTTTACTGACCATGGTCTGCAGTAAGTGCGTTTACTCAAGTCGCCTAGTCTACTTAAGTACAATTTTGAGGTACTTATAGGCTACTTAAATACTTTCCTTTATTCTACTTTACACTTGTACTTTTCAGAATAATATATTGTAGGGGAGAGCGGGGTATGTTGTCTCACTTTTCACACTGTCTAACATTTACTGGGCACCTTACATCACAATGGTACAAATGTCATACCAAATGAAAGAATGGAGTCTTGGGCAGAAGTTTTGTATTCATCACATCTTCATATCTTATCTCATAATGGAGTTGTAGACTGTTGAATAGAGAGTGTGCACTTGTGACAATTTGCCCCATCGGCAGGTAAGTTGTCACACTGCATTATCAAACAGTTAGAAACTTGTGAATATTGATTTCAATTTCAAATTGTAACCAGAACTAAAAATATAATCAATCAGCAATCAAGCCTAGAGAATTTGGAAAGTAAATAATTTAAATCAAAACACAAATGTTGGCAGAGCACACATTAAGTGGCACGTCTTTCTTTGAACTTCTAACGTTCTCTGGAGTGCAAATAGATCTATGGTAATTGAATATAATCCTGCAGATAACTTTATTAAATGTGTAACTTCTTAACTAAACAGATGTGGTGTTTAAACACACTAATGCAATTAATTTAGCATTTCTGTACAGCGTACATATGTATCTGACTAATCAGACGTGTTTAGAGTCACAGTTCTGGCACACAGAAATTGCCTGGCCTGAGGTGCAAACAGCGCAGGCCCATTTGTTGCATTTCACACACTTAAACCACGTCTCCTTTGGAATACTGTATGAAAATGGCTCCACATAGATGAGGCCAAAAGAGATGTCAGCCGCTTATGTCAAAATCCTTAGCTGTAATTCTGATTGATTTGTTCTTTAACTTCACCTACCTACCTCCACCTACTCGCTTTAACATTATGTCAGGTGGTGTACTGCCATTCTCTGTCTTCTGTTGATAATTTCCTTCCTTCCTTCAAAAACACATTCCTCCATGCAATTACAAGTAAATTTGAGTGTTAAACGTATTTGTCTGCTACCCTTGTTGCCTAACTAAATTAATAACTGTATGCTGTAGTGTGTGTGTGTGTGTGTGTGTTTGTGTCTACTAACATACTACATGCCTACGGTATAAGACCGTATATACCCTGTCATGAATTCAGTCTTATCCAGGCATATCGCTGCTGCTGTACAGTGTATAATATAATAATATTTACAGAATCATTTAATACTGATGTCAGAGGTAATTACACAATTTCACATAGTTTTTTGAGCATGTTCTATGTGTTTATTTGTACTGGAGCAAGTAATCACATGTGACAACTTGCCCCAAAGTCATTGAGACAACTTGCCCCAAACTGACATGTGTGCTAAGGTTAGCTTAACATAGCACTTCACCTGAAGTATCAAAAGACACGTTATTGTCTCCTCTACTATGTACAAAGTTATCATTTTGAACATTCATACCTAATGAGGTTGGAATACATAAAATGTAAAGTGCAAATGTTTTACTTTTGAAGCAAAAAAATAATAAAATTGTGCTCACCTCAGATTAGAGTGACCTTGACCACATGTAAACAGGAAGTTGAACATAGAAAAAGAAGTCACACAAAATGGCTATTTGATTTTTGACATAGAGCCTCTAGTGTTGGAGTTATGAGCAGTGTGACAACTTACACACGAGACAACTTACCCCGCTCTCCCCTACTTTTTACTCCACTACATTTATATGCAGCTATAGATAGTAGTGATGCAGATCAAGATTTTACTCGCAAAACAAGTTAAATTTCACAATTTACTATGCAAACACAATAAATAAACATGAGAGTACTCAAGCATTTGTAATTGCAACAATTTTCTGGGAGAGGTAGTGTATTATGTGACAGACATGCAGGGGTGTCCGTATTTGTGGCAATGAATGTATCTTAACTTGAAAAACAAATCAGTACTCAGTGACGTTACAATTGTGGGGCCAAAAGGCTAACATTGAAGCAATAGCTCTAGTTTTGTGTTTAATGCATTCACTGTCTTAGCAGAGCACACAGAAAACACTGAGCTCTTTCTGCTGTTACAGTTTATGGCTGCATTGATACTACCTGAGCGAGATGTACAAACACACATGCAGAACTGTGTGCATACTTACAGAGGGCGCAACACAGATGACATAACACATAAAAGTTTATCAGTTTATCATCATCAGTTTTATTTGTGCTCAGAGTTTAGCCTACAAAACAATTTCCAGCACTGAAACTGAACATCATATGGACCCAAAATCATTTTTTATAAAGGGAAACAAAATAACTATAAATATATAAAAAAGGGGTACATGTGTTTTAACAACCAGGAATAAGAGTGAAATTACAGAGAATGGATGGCATGTATAAAATCTCTTTTTTTTTTATTGTTTGATGTTCTTCTTGGCATTCTACAAGCTATTCAGCTCCTGCAGTGTTTGGTCCAGGACTTGGTGCATTCCTATGTTTTCTTCTTTTGCGTGTGATAGGCCCTCTGCAATAAAACATACCAGCCGATATAAAATGCAGTGGCTATTTCAGTGAACCGATTAATTGATCACATAAGTGCAATGTGTACGCAAATAAAATATGGTTCATTTAAGAGCAGACACAACAAAAGAAACACAATTGTATACGATATGTAAACCTACAACTGTGGCATTTTCATAGTGGCCAATAAATATAAGAAACTATTGGCTGTTACAGCTGCAGAGTGGTGAAAAGCAGGCTTAACTGAAATGACAGTAGACAGGGCAAAAGAGAAAAATATCTTTATTGAGTTTAGCTGAATGCAAAAGGAGCAAGATGCAGTGAGAGCAAAGTGAGAATATAAGAGACAAAGTGCTTCCAATCAGGCAAGGGGAGATAAAGAGAAATCATCATCAGCTAAATGCAAGGTTTACAAGGTGTTCATATCATTGAGGGCATGATCCAGCTCCTCACTGATAGCCTTGTATTTCAGCTTCTGAGTGTACAGTTCGTCTGCAGGTCAAAGGGCAAGGAGAGAGCAGATGGAGCAGGTTCGGAGGGTAATGCAGAATAGTGCAGACCACGGAGGGGAAAGAAAGAAATCAGATCAAAGATTAAGAATAAGAAAGTTAAGAATGATAAAGGTTTGAACAAAGCAAACAGTGTAGCTCAGTGTAGGATTGAAAAGGAGGGTTAAAAGTGTCATATGGAAATAATTTTCTGGCTGATCATTATTGATGTGTAAACATTACCTTCTAAGTCATCTATGGTCTTTTCCAGCTTAGCCACTGTCCTTTCTGCGAATTCCGCACGGGTTTCCGCCTTTTAAAAAAACAATAATTCTATTAAATCACACAGTCACAGCTTCCCACAGAGAATATAGCTTGAGCAGTCATGAACTTACCTCCTTAAGTCTGTCATTCAGGACTTTAATCTCCTCCTCATATTTGTCCTCTTTCTCAGAGTACTATAGAGACAGAGGAATAGTTGAAGAACATAATATCATCATCAAAGCAATAAATATTACAATGTTTTTATATGTAAAAATGAGTTGTTCCACCTTTTTATGCTCAATATCTATGTTATAAACTCTATTAAATATGCGTGTTACATAATATTCTCTTTTTAAGAAAGTCAGATCATTCTGGACAGAAAAGGGATGCATGGGCAGGTGAACTGAATGTGTAACACTTCCTCTACCTCATCAAATCTCCAGAACACTTACCTTATCAGACTGAGCCTCTAGCGACTTCAGGTTGTTGGTGACATTCTTCAGCTCTTCTTCCAGGTCGCCACACTTACTGTACGGGTAGAGAAACACATTTTCTGAACACATTTGATGTGGACCTGTTATCTGGTTAACAACTGAAGGACGCTTGCAAGCATGCATTTAATTTCTTCAATGCTTTTGTGCTTACAGTTCTGCAATCTCTGCCCTCTCTTCTGCTCTCTCCAGCTCACCCTCAAGGATTACCAGTTTACGTGCAACCTGACATTTAAAAAAAAGAAAAAAAGACATAAAATCACAGCTGAGCAAAAACAGAAATCACATCAGATTTATTCTGAAAACTGAAAGTCAGCTGGAATTTGATCTGTGCGCCCGCACCTCCTCGTATTTGCGGTCTGCCTCCTCAGCGATGTGTTTGGCTTCTTTGAGTTGCATCTCCTGGATCTCCATCTTCTCCTCATCTTTCATGGCTCTGTTCTCAATCACCTTCATGCCCCTGATGATCAGAAAGACACATTCCTTGACATTACTGAAGCAGTGAGGCATCTCAGCCACTTGTGTCGGATGACATGTTAAATTATGACTGCTTATGACATATGTATATTTTTTTGTGGTTTCAGTCTCAACATTATGGAGATGCTAGGACTCTGTTTTTACACATTTTCCTGGTAGGCTCTCCATGAAAGTTACGAATGAGCTCATGGATGTTCTCCAGAAAAGGTTGAAACATTTATTACTCATCATCATCATCATATCAATGGTTTTGTTGTACATAAATCACATAATCTCAAAACCGTAAAATGATTATTTTCTAATCTTGTTTAACTCAAAGACTATTATGACTGTGGTCTGTGTTGATTCCCACCTCTCACTCTCGTCTGCGGCCTTCTCAGCCTCCTCCAGTTTCTGCAGGGCCGTGGCCAGTCTCTCCTGAGCGCGGTCCAACTCCTCCTCCACCAGCTGGATCCTGCGGTTCAAAGAAGCCACATCGCCCTCTGCCTATAGCAGCACACAGAGGAAGAGAGCAAGGCCAGAGGTCAGCCAGGAAACATGCTGGTGCCACAAGAGGAAGGATACTGCTTAGGAAGGCCAAGGCTGCCTATCGGACACTGTGTGAGTCGTTGGCTTTGGGTTTTGAGTCTAAGGTCTCATTAAAACTGCAGTAGGGGTAAGGTGTAATTAGTTTATGT